ATGTCATCATATTCGTCCGAAGGCTTTCATTGTAAGCTTTATGTTTTTTTTGCCTTTTTTAACTGAATTTCTGTATCGGTTCCATTGAGCAGCTTTCATCTCAGTGATCGAAGGAGCGATTTTCTGTGTGCACGTTAGCGATTTTCAGCAACCAGTTTTGTTTTGTGCATAGAATAGTGACCTATTGAATTGTCGTTGTCGATGTTTAGGTATCTGAATCACTTCGTATTGTCGATTCAGCTGATTGAAGAGATAAACTTTAATGGGATTGTTTTCATTGTTCAATTAGAAATATCACAAATCGCCTATTCAGAAGAGGCAAGAAACTAGTGAGAAATTGACATGAGATTAATAATTTCACGGGTGTTTTTTCATGAAAAGTTAATGATGGATTATGTGGTGATATAATTTGAAGTTGGTTTGTGGTGTAGGTGTGGTATCACTTGTTGGTCATGTCATCGAAACAACTGGACATCCAGAGAAGATGTTGCGTATTGGACCGATTTGTCGCTATGCTGAAGATTTACCAATTATTCTCAAGGTTAGTTTTTACTCACTCTTGCACTTTACTCAAGTATAGTTTCAATGCTCCGATCTTGTCCTTTGTGACATTTTCACGTTAAAATTTAAACATCGTAAAAAATAGTAACAAATTCGTTGTTGAGCATTTAGAGTTGTTTTAGAACTGAACAAGAAATGGAATCGATTTCATCTGCATAACCAAAGCGATATTTTTAGGTGATAGTATCGGACGATAAATTAGAATCATTGCAATTGAACAAGTCGACAGATTTGAAAACGTTACGTGTCTTCTATATGAACGGTATATCGAATTGTTTCGTGGAACCGCTCGGATCTGAATGCAGTAACGCTCTGAAATTGGTGAGATTTTGAGCGAATACGAAGAGGTGGCAAACAGAAATTTGACGGATTTGACGGATCTTCCGAATAGTCATCGTCTTACGTAATATCGAGTATAGGCGGATTACAACTGAAGTGGAAGTTGTTTTTCGAAGGCGGAATCATTGCTTGAATAAATCTTAAGAACCAATTTATTTTTCAAAAAAAACAGTTTGAAATCGTAAAGACAATGTTCATATAAGTTTGAAAGAATATGAACATGACTGATTCATGCCCGTAATAATTTCAATTGTTCACAGTTTGGATTCTCGCTTTGTTCAGTAGTTTGGAATGATTTTTTAATTGTAATCTTTCAAAATCAGAGATAATTCATCATGGGTTCTGATGGCGTTTTGTTAAGGCCGTGGAACATTTCGAGCGTAAATACGACATATGCGCAATTCGAGTGGATCTTCCGCTGGTGCATAACGCTCTCGACTTTTATTTCACAAGTATGAACGTGCCCGGAGAGCCGGCAATGGTACATGAAATGAGTGGAATAAAAGTGATTATTTAACGGAATTCTTCTGATTTTGCGGTCCTATTTTGGGTTATTGTTGTTGTTGTGTTATCGAATTTGGTTATGGCAAGAGTTTGTGGGTTATGACAGTTTGTTTCAGACTGACATGGATTGTGCGATGGAGTTCATCAAGTTGTTATTCGGTAAATCAGAGCATATGTTTGCGACGATATCGCAGGCACTTATCGAGAATCATCCGATGTATAGTGAGGATCGTAAACGAATGGTAATAGCGTTCTGATTTTAAAGCATTAGATACGAAAGGGAAAACTGTTAACATCATCCCACATGTTTAGCGTCTTGTAATTTATTTATTTTTAATCATTTTGATTCCGAATCGTCATTGATTTTTGATATCCTTTCACATCAGTACAGTCAGTTTATGGAATGATTTAGGTTAGCTTACAGGAACTAATAAAATTTTAAGAATTTGATGCACATGACGAGCCAGTGCTTAGTTTTTATGAAACTGAATTGGTTTTTTTTTTCGTGGGTACTTCGGCAATGGGAATCGAGATGTTGTTATACGATGAGAAATTGTAGATAATGGCGGATCGTGATCGCCTCCGACGTGAAGTTTGCGATTTGTTGCAAGATGATGGTATTCTTCTGTTTCCGTCCTTTCCAACACTAGCACCGTTTCATAATCAACCCTTGTTGACACCGTTCAATTTCCTCTATACGGCTATTTGGAATACGCTCACCTTGCCAGTGCTACAGTGCCCACTGGGCTTGTCAACAGATGATCCATCGAATAGACTACCAACCGGGGTACAAGTGGTTGGATCGCCACTTTCGGATCATCTTCTGATGGCCGTAGCACAGGATCTGGAGGAAGCATTCGGAGGATGGGCAGTTCCGCAATCGGTTGTAGTCAATGAATAACTGACTGTTCGATTGATTCATTGATGGATGAGATACGAAGGATATCGAAATAATTAGACGCAAACCAAGTCATAGTGTAGCGCAGACTTGGTAACATCATAGTGATTAATATGACAGTGATGAAACAATATCATTGAAGTATCTATCAATCTATATCCAAGATTATTCATTACTGTCAAATGTTAGTGATATGATTTAGTAGCGTAGCGGTGTTCATGTAGTGAGTGTATATGCATTTGTGTGTGTGCCATCCTATTGCATTCCATATTCTGAGAAGTTTACTTCTCGAGAATGTTCATCGATATTGGGACAATAGTACCAAGTGGAATGGACATAATCGCTTTTTGTTTCATTCATTACTATCCATTTATTATCTCTGTTATTGTTATCTAATATTCACATGTTGTGCATAATTTCTTACGTTCACATTCTTTCAACTAATCTCCAATTCAGCCAGGAACATTATATTGCAGTGGTAATACTCTAAAGCTATCGTCATCTCTCTGTTTTCCACATTCCCTCTGAATATGAATAAACTAAATTTGCAAAGCGATTTCAGTGAATTGTGAAAATTTTCAGGAGCAAATAATTATTCAACTCTGTGTTAGTGTGTTTAAATTTGAAACATTCATTTCTTGATGAGAGCGAAATCTTGAAGAAGTCCGTACAATTAGCTGGAAGCAGTGAATTATTCGTAATCTGAAGATTTTCACATAAGCATTTTCTCGAATTGAAGCTGAATTCTGAGAGTGATATGAGAAGTGCGGAAAAATGAATTGCAGATGCGAAGATTTCGTTTCGAAACAACCAAAATGGTGTTGTGCATATTCGGTGCATTCCTTTCGTCACATTGGAATGAGTACTGTCGTATTGAAGACACTATCAAGTGGACATTACCAAATTGCTAGTGAAACATGTAGAAATTTTAGTGTGCATCAATTCACTGAATCATTCATTGTCACTGAAATAAGAAAGTAAATATTCATATTTTAAGGTAATTCGTTGTCGTACTGAATGAATGAATCTGCTAAGACTTGAGGGAACCAGCATGGCGTTCCGATTGTATGCGTGTTTGCTCAACGAATATATGGGAAGTTTTTAGTAGAGTTGAGTGGTCAACTGCCACCGAAATTCGGTGGTAGAAATCGAATCGAAGCTGGAATAGCTGCCTTCGGTGAGAAATGAAAGTGGCTAGGCACCGGATTTTGGTGATCAGTAACAGATAACGGAAAGGAGTAATCGG